CCAGGTGCGAAATTTCCCGCTTGTCAGTGTCATATTTGACAGTAAATGGGGCGCAAATGGGGCTCCCATTTACTGAAATACCATGAATTTCGATCCCCCATTCCAATCGTGAGTACTCCAGGCCATTTCCGTTACAATATGTTTAGTTGCGCGTTGCGTTGATGATTGTGTTTATGACTTTTCGTCTATAAGAATTACTGGTAAGTTATCCGGGAACCATAATTGAAGTTGCTTCAGCCACAACATTTTATTGAAGATTCGAATAGTGCGTCAAAAACTGGGAATAATTTATCTAAAACATTTTCTTCGATTTTGACAGGTGGCGCTGTAATCCCTCAATTATCAATTTTTTTGCTTTAGATCTGCTAAACTATCCGTTAATTTTTAATTGAAACGCGGAAAATTTTAGTGTGACCAATAGCATGCAACTCAATGTAGGAACGCTGATAAAAGCGTAGACATTTCAAATTGTTGACTATGACATTTATTAATTTAGTTCTGGGTTAGAACCACTATTTGAATTTGATTTAAATAAGCTACTATAATTTTTGATATGGGCGCATTAACTGTGCAAGAAAAAATTGAAATTATTTTTGTACACGGAGAAGCCGGCTGATATACTTATGACTACGTACGGTAAACTGCACTGATGCACAAAATTAGCGCACCACCGATACATTTTCGAATAAATCATTTTCTTTCTCCAAGTAGGCTGGTAAAAACGTAACCATAGTAACATTGTTCATTACAAATTGTTTTTGATCCCTTTCTATTCATTCCAATGCAATTTTCTACTTGTTTTGTGTTATTTGCAACATTTCATCATTGTTTTGAGCAAGTTACAACCGGAAAAATTTTACAAAAACAGAGAAATAAAAAAATCAATGACATGAATTTAGGATTACAGCTATTTAAATTGAACGAAAAGAAAAAAAGGCAGAAAGGGTTTCACTGGCGCAGGTATTTTGGGCGGTCGTGTGCAAAGCCGAAGGGTGGATTCGTTGAAGCGCCTCTAGCTTTCGCAGCAAAGCTAGAACGATCAGCGGTCGCATGCTGCCAAAATACCTACTTAAGACCTGATTGATATTATTTACGCTTACTGCTTGAAGTACTCAAAATACAAATGATGAATGAAGTGCAAATCTAATGAATGGCTATATACTCGCCCAAATACCAGCTATGTGTCTTCAAAATCGCCGACACCTCGTGCTGCTGCCGATTTCTGCTCCACGTGCTCACTACAATCTCATTCAGACTGTCCCTGGCTATCAAATTTATCAGTAGGGTGATTTATCCCCAAAATTTAATTTATACCCAAAATCCTCAGTCGGGAACCAGGAGACAGCTGATGGCCCTACGAGCTGATCGAAGCAGGCGGACAAAATCTACGAAAGACTGCGGGAAGATGGCTGACTCGGTGGTCAAATTGGTGTCGGCGACCGTTGAGCTGGGACGGACGATCGACTGGACTCTACTATCGTTGGTACCTGATTGTCCTTCATTAGGTCACCTTCCTGGATTGATTTTTCGTCCCTTCTGACTGCTGATATTTGGGAGCGAGATACAAATATTTAAACATTAAAATATAAATAATACTTGAAATATTGTTAACCTAACCTGACAAATTTGGTTACTAAATCCGAATTACAAATAAATATCGGTTGAAAACAAAAGAATATTGCAATTATAATTGTAAGTTATAATTAATACCATATCAATCAATCAATTATAACTTACAACTACCTACTAGTCAGATGTAAACTCGCACTCGATAATAATAATTCAGTACAGCAGGTAATGGAGTTTAACTACCTGGGAGTGCAAATAACCTCCAGCGAAAACAGAGACAATGAAGTAAGTGTCCAAGCAAACAAGGCTAGCGGGATAGCAGGTGCTCTACGAGACGTAGTATGGAACAACAAATACATGGGGCAACACGCTAAAACTAAGACCTATAAAACTTGCGTAAAACCCTGACTGACATACGCTACAGAAACCCGAACAGACACCAGTCGAACCAAAAATATCTACAACTGAAATGAAAATACTGAGGAATATAGCAGGATTCATCCTAAGAGACAGGAAAAGGAACAGTGACATAAGAAACTAGTGCGAGGTCGAGGACATAGTCAGATGTGGACGGAAGCGTCGTAGAGCCTAGATTGACCACGTCACTAGAATGAATATGGACAGAGTAGCAAAAATTGCTCGAGACGGGTTTCCACAGACAAGCCGACCACTGGGCAGACCTCCCAAGAGATGGAAAGACTCCTGGACATTAATATCCCAAGGAAATTAAGTTGGAAAATACAAGCCTATGGCTTAAAATATGAGGAAGAAGAAGAACTACCTACCACTTAAAATTAATTTTTAACTGTTACAAAGTGTGGCACTGTTTTCGATTCAATTTTCATGCTTTTTTCTAACGTGTGTGTAATAAAGTGTATTCGCATTGAAATGTGCCCAGGAATAAATTTAAGTGAGTTTGAGGCGGTTAAAATTGTCACCATTTTGGAAGAAAGGTATTCCCAACGTGAAGTCGCCCGAAGGTTGGGTGTTCATCACACCACCATTCGTTTATGTCACACCAGCGTTTTAGAAAAACAGGTCGCCATGTTAGACGACCAGAGCAAGGCCGACCAAAATCCACAAACCAAGTGGGTGATCGTTTTATACGTCTGCAAGCTTTATGAAATCGGTTTATTACCGGAAATGAGATAAAAATTTCTTCCTAAACGGTAAGAAGAAAACCCAATGAATCCAGATTGAGTGCAAAACATCCCGTAAAATATACTCTTTTGACCATAGCCCACAAGCAAGCTGGGCTTTAGTTTGATCGAGAACATGGGGATTGCGATTTGGATGACTGGAAGGAAGTCTTGTTTACTGATGAAGTTAGAGTGGGTTTAAAATCTTCGGATGAGCGACTTTTTATTTGGAGAAGACCAGGAGAAAGATACAGCCAAGCAGGTATGGTTCCTCAACTGGATTTCCGTGATGGCTCAATAATGTTTTGGGGTGGCATTTCTTTGTAGGCCCGTACGGACCTTGTGGTGATCCGAAAAAGATCCTTAAATCATTAACTTCCCAGTACATTCAAAAGATTTCCATACCTTTTGTACCTCACATAGGAGACAATTTCTTGTTTATGGATGATAATGCCAGACCACACCGACCTCTGATCGTGCGCGAATATGAGGTTGGCATTCAACGTTTAGTGTGGCCAGCTAGTAATCCTGATCTTAACGTGTTTGAATATATTTGGGATCAGCTCAAACGACGTGTTCGACGACGAGATTATACTCTTGAGAACTTGGCTGAACTGGAAAACGCGGTTCTTCAAGAATGGCATAACATACCCCAAAAATTAATTACAAACCTCTTTTATGGTATTCTAAGACGTTTGAGGAAAGTTATTCGAACTATTTCAAAATCAAAGGAGAATTTTAAAATGTGTTTTTCATAAATATTTATAAAAAATCTGAGAAACTAGTGATTCATGTTTTGGCTTTTGATAAAACTATGTTGGGTTTTAAAAAAATATTTGAAATGTATAGATCGTACCCTAACTTTGTCCATCAGTGTATAATTAGCAGAAATTTGAATATTATATAGTATACCGAGGTCATTTGGCGCTAACGCACTAAAATAATTTCAAGATTTGTGGGCATAATAGTTATTTGCATCATCCTGACTCTCACACAGCTTGTCTTACGGAGATTGATCAATATACCGCGAAATATCTCAATATAACAATTTCAAAAATTTCATTATTAATGACAGGTTTTTTCGAATTTCGTTCAGTTCGAATGGCCAACGTGCCACAAGTTATAACTTAATCACATTCTCAAGCAATTATACAGGGTTATTCACGTTATACGGCACGGAAGTTTGCGGCTAAACCGTATGATTTTTAAAAAGTATTATTTTATGAATTGTGCGACGCCTACCGAGCGCACATTTAAAAAAAATGTTTGTGTTGTCCCAAAAGCTCTAAAGGTTTCAAAGTTGCGTTTTTTAAAATAGAATGTTCTGTATATTATTGCATTTTTGGATTCGCTGAACAAAATAAAGGT